GGGCAAATTTCCTACAAACATTTGCCTTCCCAAGGATGCCCATTGCTAATAGAAAAGCTATGCAGCATGTGTTTATTATAACTATATACAGCGAAGATAACGTACAAGTATCGGTAAGTCGCCAATGATGGCAATAACAATGTTCCCTATTTTAGAATATTTCCATTTTTGATTTACGCTTTCCAGAGAGACAGGAGACAAATCCTATTCCAGATGATGTTTGTGACAGTTTAAACTGCACCTACTATATATCTAAAAAAAACACCTACTTGGCTGTCAGTCACAAAGCTAACAGAAGTGGAAGACGCACTGTGGTAGCACGTTCCCCGCTTTTTCAATGAGTTCGAAGCTCCAGCACAGAGGCTTCTCAGTGACTCCGAGCTGGGCCAAAAAGGAGGACTTGCAGAAGATGCAGACAGGAGATCAAGCTGTTTTAGACAACCATGCAGAAATAAATGAATGCGTGTTTTCATTGAAAGTATATCTACTAAATTTGTAATTCTAAGCATATATATATATTCTATTTCAGTGGAGAGTGTTCCTTTGAATACAGCATTAACTCGTTATGGTAAGGATAAAAGTTACAGTCTAAGTGAGAAAATGAGAGAATATGAAGGGTTAAAGTTCTACATATGGAGCAATTAGTAGGGATATTCCATTGGTTTCCATGGTGATTGCCCTAGACTTGCACTCTACACATAAGTACTTTTAGTGGGGGGTGGCAGGGATTAGGTTAAGGAATAGAAGGCATTTCTCTGTTTAGCATCGATGGGGGGCCTGAATCACCCCGTAATAAAGTAAGGATAAACTTAATGCATTAAAGTTTTATTTCCGACCCCAAATAATCCCAGAGTTAATGGAACGGGCAGCATGCAAATTTGGATCATTTTAATGAAAACATATTTTCAACCTGATTTATATGTCATATTAGAAAGACTGTCTATGAAAACAATGGCAAGATTTAATAATAATCAATTTGAATTTCATTTTGTTATTTTTATGTTTTGTTTTTCACTTTATCCTACATAATAACTTCACCACAAGACAGAACAATGTATACTATTTAAGATGCCGGCTGAGATGACCTAGTAGAGTCCTTAAATGCCCCAATTCCTTTTCACATAAATTCAGTTATTTCAATAATCCACATAAATACTAAGACAAAAATATGGTTGAAAATAGCTGCAGCATAAAAAATAAATAAATACTCTTCTCCTGCCGGCTTTGTACAGAATTCAGAATGAATTACATAATGAATACAATCCCGCAGTCAGAATGTTTACTGTACTGAAGAGAGGACCAAAATACGTTCCCTTTTTGCTGCAACTGCAGTAGGCAGGAAGCTGACTTCGGAGGGCGCTCCTACAGACAGGTCATAGAAAGTGTAAATACCCTGTATTAGAAAGGCAGGGAGAGGAAAAACAAATTTGGGCCAATCAGGTGATCGTCAGAATTCGTAAAAACCTACTCATACTATACCCAAAATTAAAAACTAACCACAGGGGAGGGTGTCAGTATTCTAGATTCCACCCATGTTGCCAAAAAAAGAGATGATGATGGGGAAAAGAGATGATTGATGGCTAGGGGATGGCTGGGGATGGCTTGGGGATGGCTAGGGGATGGCTGGGGGATCTTATTCAAAGATCAGGTGAGAAGTGACCTATAGAGGAAAACTGATGAGAGGTAAAACACCTAGATTTATAAATTATCTTATTATAGTTCTTAACCAAGTGGTGGGAATATTCTCCAATCACTGCTAAATATTATATTCTGTCTATATTTTGCAGCACCCTGATTGTCCCATTTTCACCCTTTTTTAATTAGTTCCAGAATTGTCATTCAAACCGACATCCAAATGAATTGTGGGTTACCAGAGAAATGTTCTATCTTCAGAAAAAATTGTTCTACACAGAAATTTCTCACTGCACACAAGTCTTCGAGATTTAAACCAGTATGTATTGTAGACCACTAAAAAGTTTATTTATTATTTATGAAGAAGATATCAAATTGTTTTAGGATATTCACTAAAGTTTGAAATGTCCATTTCCACATTGGCAAAAGTCATTTTAAAAAAAATATTAAATTTCTTTTAAGTTCACTTTGAATTTCTTACACTTCAGTAAATAACCCTGAATAAAGCTGTATATGAACAGGTGTAGGTGGAAGCATGGCGTTATAGTGGTAAATAAGGGAACCAGCCGCGGTTACACCACCATTGGAATCAAAGCAATCAAAACAAAACTAATTCAAGCACGTTTGAATAAAACTTTATTAGTTAAATTGGAATACCGAGAACAGTGAAATGCGTTGGGTAATCTGCAAACACAATATATACAAAAACAATATAGCAAGTGCTCACCTGTCAAGGGTTAATTTACAAATCATGCAGTTGTGTACAGGTGCAGAGTGCTAAATGAGTAAAAAGTTACCTGTGTCCCCTACGGGTTGACAAATAAACCCATGGCACACCGAAAAAGCCTTGAAGAAAGTGTATTGACAAAATGTTGGGGTGCTGTGGTCTCCAGCTCGGGTCCATAAACTTGTTGTTACACTTGGGTTAAGGCATTGGGCACTTTATTTGCAAAGTGAATATTCTGCATGCTCGCACTTTACTATTTGCATGTGTTCACTAATACGTTATGTGAATGAAAACCTTTTGTGCAATACTTTTTTGGGGTGCTATGGCTTTATTTGTTTTATGGAATCTGCAAAAACAAGCCTGATGCATTTAATAATAAAACTACTCTTACACACCAAGACAATCGTTAAACGTATCATTCTAATATACTGTATAATATTCTATTTGTCCAAAACATGCTTAATTAGAGAAAATTCAATGTGTTTTTCCTGGAAAAAAAGGTTTTTATAAATAAATAAAAATAAATCAGTTTCTGGAAAAAGATAAATCTACGTTTTTTTTTTGATCGTTTATTTTAGTGTCACTAATATGGGCTGTGTTTGATACTGTTGGAAACTGCGCTCTCTGAAATTAGATTTATCTAAGAACACAGCACCGCCTGCCAACGTGATTCCATTTTTATTGCTATTATTGGGAATATTTTTTAAAAGTAATAAAGATAACAACGGATTGAACATCTTGTCATGGATAAACCAGCGCTGATATGTTTTTCTGCAGAATGGTTGGAATGTAATTCACAAAGTATCTCCAAACATGCTTTGAGTTCTTTTATTCTGGAGAGGAACTGTGAGACGGGTCTGCTATTGTTCATGTAGGACAGTCACACAGAGAACTGATACACAGTTTAGAAGCAAAATGATGGAGAGTCGACTTCCTCCCTCTGTATAGCGCCTTACTGGAGAATGAGATATGGCTCAGAACAAAAGAAAATTAAATATAAATTAGCTGCAGCAGTTAGGTTATCTAGCACTAAATACATTTTATTGAGCAGCTACCCCCATCATGAATATATAGTGAATACGTTCTGCAGAAATCACTGGGATCTCATCTAGATACAAAGGAATCTAAGTATGATTAGGTAATTAAGTATTAACATATTTTTCTGTAAAAAGATCAGATTTAGAAATAATTCACTCATGGGTGTCCATAGACTGGGTCAAGAGGGCTTTTTCAGTAATTTTGCGAGGGCTTCAGCTGCTCCAATTATTATTATTATTAATTTTATTACTGGCATTCATAAAGCGCCAACAAATTCCGCAGCTCTGTACAATTGGGAAAAAGACAAACACAATAAGAACAGACCAGGTAGAGGACCCTGCCCGTAAGCTTGCAATCTAAAGCTTAAACTGGGGAGATGAGACAAGAGGTAGCAGAGGGATTTGTATGTGATGGCAAAGAGAGTTAATAGTATAACTGCATCAGCTGATAACATGTGAAGGGAATGAGGAGGTGATTGGCTGTGGTTCCAAACAGCTGGAAGAGTAGGTTATATAGTTAGAAGGAACCAGGGTGAGTAAGAGGTTGGAGGGTGGGTAGAGCCGAGTAAAATGACACCATAGTCATTGCCAACTTAACTTGATTATTGTGCTCCCTGAATTCATCCTCGATTCTGGTTTTGCCCTGGATGGAGACATATATGGGTGACAACGTATCCATTGAAATGGATGTTGGATAATTGTAAGAATGGTGTATAGATTTTTTCACAAAAATACTTCTTTGTGATTTGTTGCTGTGCTTGGATTGCAATCACTTTACCACAACTTACTCTAAACAGTGAATTCTAAAGAACTAATACACGCCCTGCATCATTTATTGTGTTTTCGTTGTTTTTTTAAATATGCTGCAGATATGATATGTAATCATTTTGTTTTGCGTGACTACTTTATCAGGTATACCCAGGGGTCAAGTCCTGGGGAAAAAAGTGTGGGAACTCACCCAAGATTCCCGCCGTCCCCCGTCCCCCCCACCCCCTTTAAAAAAAAAAAAATTACACTCCTATGCATATAGTGCAGTGCAGGGTGTGTATAATGAATGTAGTGTGTTTGTAGTGAATGCAGAGTGTGTATAATGAATGCAGTGTGTTTTTAGTGAGTGCAGAGTGTGTACACTGAATGCAGTGTGTTTGTAGTGAATGCAGAGTGTGTATAGTGAATGTAGTGTGTAGTGAGTGCAGAATGTGCATAATAAATGCAGAGTGTGTATAGTGAATGCAGAGGGTGTATAGTGAATGTAGTGTGTTTGTAGTGAGTGAAGAGTGTGTATAATGAATGCAGTGTGTGCGTGTGCGCGCTGGATGACGTGTGTGTGAGTGCTGGATGATGTGCTGGATGATGTGGATGATGCTGGATGATGTGTGTGCGAGTGCTGGATGATGTGTGTGTGTGTGTTGGATGATGTGTGTGTGTGTGTGCTGGATTATGTGTGTGTGAGTGCTGGATGATGTGTGTGTGTGCTGGATGATGTGTGTGCTGGATGATGTGTGTGTGTGTGCTGGCTGATGTGTGTGTGTGTTGATGATGTGTGTGCTGGATGATGTGTGTGTGTGTGTGTGCTGGATGATGTGTGTGTGCTGGATGATGGAGTGCTGGATGATGTGTGTGTGTGAGTGCTGGATGATGGGTGTGTGTGCTGGATGATGTGTGTGTGTGTGCTGGATGATGTGTGTGCTGGATGATGTGTGTGAGTGCTGGATGATGGGTGTTTGTGTGAGTGCTGGATGATGGGTGTGTGAGTGCTGGATGATGGGTGTTTGTGTGAGTGCTGGATGATGGGTGTTTGTGTGAGTGCTGGATGATGGGTGTGTGAGTGCTGGATGATGGGTGTGTGAGTGATGGATGATGTGTGTGTGTGTGCTGGATGATGGGTGTGTGAGTGATGGATGATGGGTGTGTGTGTGCTGGATGATGTGTGTGTGTGTGCTGGATGATGGGTGTGTGTGTGCTGGATGATGGGTCTGTGTGTGCTGGATGATGGGTGTGTGAGTGCTGGATGATGGGTGTTTGTGTGCTGGATGATGGGTGTGTGTGTGCTGGATGATGGGTGTGTGAGTGCTGGATGATGTGGGGGGGGGAGGAGCATTTTTTTTTAACTTTATGTGTCTATATTTTTTTTTATTTTATTCCCCCCTCCCTGCTTCTTACCTTGTCAGGGAGGGGGTAGATCGCCTGGTGGTCCGGTGGAGGGAGCCAGCCGCTGCACAGAGGAGCCATCACACGCTGTGTTCCCTCTCCAGCTCTAACTCTCGCGAGACTCGCCTGTGCGGAGCGTTGCCATGGTAACAGCCGCGGTTCTCGCGAGAGTTGTAGCTGGAGAGGGAACACAGCATGTGATGGCTCCTCTGTGCAGGTAGCAGGGCCGGTCCTGCAGGACAGGTAACGGGAACGGCGTTCCTGCTTTGGAAAAAGTGCAGGAACGCCGTTCCCATGCGTTCCTGCAGGACTCGAGCCCTGGGTATACCTGTGCACTAGCTCATCTATGCCAATCATGAGGTAACAGCTCAGTGTATCAATGCATGTTAACATTATGTGGCTCTATTTTTTTTTACCACAAACATTAAGATACATTAAGTTAAGAAATAGGATTTCAGTGACTTTGTGGAGGTTCGAGTATCCCATGGGATTGTAACGTACAACAATCTCCACACATGACATACAAATGATACAGACGCAATAAAACAAATTATCTGTAAGTAACATAAATCCATGGCTATTTCTTGCCCTGTGTCAACGATTGAGACTAGTGGTTGTATAATGGCCGGAGAATACATTCTGCCCTTTAATACAACTTTAGCATTATTTAAGTGTTACAGCCTTGTGGAGTTTCACTGTTAACTGTCTGTTTATGGATAAGATTTACTAATAATTACCTCCAGCCAAGCACAGGTCATTTCAAACTGGCTCTGCAAACATGACAACAAAACCCCCCACAGTCTCCAGATCTGAAGTTGGATGTCGCTAGACACTCACTATCCTATCACATCAACACAACCAGAATCTCTTAGAACTTAAATTCCGCTATCCTTCTTTCTATTCTAATGTCCTTCTTTTCTTGGAGCTTCATGTTGATGGTGTGTCTGAGTGCAGTGGCAGAACTAAAGAAGTGAGGACCCTGGTGCAAGGATGACTAAAAGATAGACCCCCGTCTGTCAAACAACCCCCACAATGCTTTGACGGCCAGGGATCTACCATTAGCCCATTGTTACAGGGTTGTATTTAGCAGTGTTTGTATGTTTGAATGTAAGCATGTTTTTGTATGGAGTAAGTGTGTGAATGTAGAGGTGTATTTGCGTGTGGTGCTGTGTTGTGTTTTAGTGTTGTAGTTTGAATGCTGAAATGTATGCACATATACAAATACACTGTAACATGCACACACATACACACATTTGAATACACAGACACACACAGATACAGATGCAGATACACTGACACACAGATACACACACTGGCACTAATAAAGATACAAACACTAACATACATACAGATACACAGGTACAGACAGGCATATTAACAGCGCGACCGGGCCCCCTGTGATTACATCAATGCTTGGAGGAAGTGATTCCCCGGTCACTCCTCCCAGCATACAGAGAGCCCGCGCGGGAGGAAGCAGGAAGGAGGAGGGAGTCAGAGTGGCAACTCTGACTCCCATCAGGCTGAGCCCCCACTGGACCCCAGGGAAAGTAACAAAAGGTAGGAAACATTTTGTGTGTGTGTGTGTGTCTCTATATGTGTCTGTGTCTCTGTATGTGTGTGTCTATGTATGTGTGTATGTTTGTGTATCTGTATGTATGTGTGTGTCTGTGTCTCTGTATGTGTGTTTGTGTATCTGTATGTATGTGTGTGTATGTGTCTCTGTATGTGTGTTTGTTTGTGTATCTGTGTGTATGTGTGTCTGTGTCTCTGTATGTGTGTGTGTTTGTGTATCTGTATGTATGTGTGTGTCTGTGTCTCTGTATGTGTGTGTGTTTGTGTATCTGTATGTATGTGTGTGTCTGTGTCTCTGTATGTGTGTGTGTGTATCTATATGTATTTGTGTGTATGTGTCTCTGTATGTGTGTATGTATGTGTATGTGTGTGTGTCTCTGTATGTGTGTGTCTGTCTATGTATGTGTCTCTGTATGTGTGTGTCTCTGTATGTGTGTCTGTGTCTCTGTATGTGTGTGTCTGTCTCTATGTATGTGTGTGTCTCTGTATGTATGTGTCTGCATGTGTGTATGTATGTGTCTGTGTATGTATGTGTCTGTCGGGGTGTGTGTGTTTGTGTCTGTATGTATGTGTCGGGGGGACCACGGTTGGGGGCAGAGGGTCAGGTTTGAGGGCGGGGGGCCCACGGATGAGTTTCGCACCGGGGCCCCATGGACTGTGTGTACGCCACTGACACTGACACACATGCAGATACACAGACAACCACACTAACATGCATACAAATACACAGAAACACACGCTAACACATATGGATACACAGACACATATACACTAGCATACATGCAGATACACAGTCACATACAATGACACATATGCAGAAAGAGAAACAGATACACACAATGACAACTACTGACACACATACAGATACACAGATGTACACAGATACGCATTAGTACACATTTACACACAGATACATATCCAGACAGATAAACAAACATACACATAGATAGATACAATGTCACACAGATACAAACAGATTTATCATTATTATGATTGCCATTTATATAGCGCCAACATTTTCCGTAGCTCTTTACAATATTATGAGAGGGGGAGATTTAACTATAAATAGGACAATTACAAGAAAACTTACAGGAATGATAGGTTGAAGAGGCCCCTGCTCAAACGAGCTTACAGTCTATAGGAAGTGGGGTATAAAACACATTAGGACAGGAAATAGCAATCAAATTAGGTGGGAGTGAAGCAGAGCTGGAGGAGAGAGTAGGAGAGAGCAGACACACATATAAACACACAGATACACATGAAGACACAGAAATGGATAGACTGTCACAAATACAGACACACAGACAGTGAATTAAAGTGAATTTAAAATGTAAGGCAAGAGTAGCTGACCTGAAGAAATAGCTGACTTGGATAATGTTTCTAGTTCAATTACTTTGACCTTAAATTTGGAATTCCCTTTGAATTCACTTTTTACAGAAAACGTATAACCTCGTGTTTGGCTGACTTTGTCTAGAATTTTAATTCTCTATTTAAAAACCCAACAATCCTCGTTTAGTGAACCCCATCAGTTTGGGTTTACCTTGAATTATAATAATGGTTAGAGTTTAGGTAACTAATCCTATAATTTCACCAATTAATGAATCGCTTTGCTCTGGGCATTAACAAACCCTGGGAACTGGTGAAAGATGAACCCATTAATGGTTTGGCACTGCCAGGCAGTGTATAAATGCACATTGAATACACTATCGGATATGGTTTGGCACTGCCAGGCTGTGCATAAATGAACATTGAATACACTATCGGATATGGTTTGGCACTGCCAGGCTGTGTATAAATGTACATCGAATACACTATCGGATATGGTTTGGCACTGCCAGCTGTGCATAAATGAACATTGAATACACTATCGGATATGGTTTGGCACTGCCAGGCTGTGTATAAATGCACATTGAACACACTATCGGATATGGTTTGGCACTGCCAGTCTGTGTATAAATGCACATTGAACACACTATCGGATATGGTTTGGCACTGCCAGGCTGTGTATAAATGCACATTGAATACACTATTGGATATGGTTTGGCACTGCCAGTCTGTGTATAAATGCACATTGAATACACTATCGGATATGGTTTGGCACTGCCAGTGTGTGTATAAATGCACATTGAATACACTATCGGATATGGTTTGGCACTGCCAGGCTGTGTATAAATGCACATTGAATACACTATCGGATATGGTTTGGCACTGCCAGTGTGTGTATAAATGCACATTGAATACACTATCGGATATGGTTTGGCACTGCCAGGCTGTGAATAAATGCACATTGAATACACTATCGGATATGGTTTGGCACTGCCAGTCTGTGTATAAATGCACATTGAATACACTATCGGATATGGTTTGGCACTGCCAGGCTGTGTATAAATGCACATTGAACACACTGTCGGATATGGTTTGGCACTGCCAGGCTGTGTATAAATGCACGTTGAATACACTATCGGATATGGTTTGGCACTGCCAGGCTGTGTATAAATGCACATTGAATACACCATTGTAAATGTAGCATTGAGAGACACTCTATGTACTGAGCCTCTTCCTTCCCTTGGGCTCAGTCTCTTTACAGAAATACATTTAATTTGCTGATGTCATCCAAACAGACTGTCAATTCACAGCTCACTCCAATTAATGCTGCAGATATTTTATTATACACAAATATATGTGATCAAAACAGCAACATCAACTGCATTTCAAAAACATAAATTATGTGTACAGATAAACAGACAGACAGAGGAATAGACAGACAGACAGACCAGTCCATATATATTGAGACAGACAGACAGACAGACACCATACTGGAGAGTACTGATGAAGTGATGTCAGTAAAGTGTTAACATTACAGTTTCCCCTGCAGTTCCAGATAATTCTTGCTAAATCTATTTGATCAAAGAAAATAACTATATTTATAATATTAAATGGTGTTTGGGACCTCATTGATCTTTCTAAATATAATAGATCTAATGACAGATTTCTAGTCTCTGGTGATCCCACCTCTGTGGTAAAACACCAATTATTTTTAAAAGGCCAGCTGTAATAGATGACAGCCATGTCTGAGGGGTCTCGGGGGGTTTAGATAAGATGTTGCAGAATGCTTTAGGGTCTTATAAGGCTTACAGTTCTCCCTACTGGAGAAAGCACTGACTGTCCCAGCCATCTCTCTCCTCAGAGATAAGGATTAGCTATTAGAGCACTGGTGCTATTACAGGGCCGGATAGATTATACTGCGCATGCATTTAGCCTTCTGTTACTGGATTGTAGATACCATCACTCTCAACAATATTGGCAGTAGGGATATAAACGTGCACAATTAATTAGGAATATAACATTATTATT